ACTCTCGTTTCTATGCTGCTGTAATATATAATGTATGAAGTAGAAGACGAAGTTAGTTGGACAATCTTTTTGATTATTTTTTAAAAGAAACGATAGAAAAAGAAAACGTCTAGAAAGATCTACGTCTGATGTAATTACAATAAGCAAAAAGTACACCTCTGTTGAGAGAAACAATGATGGTAGCATATGCAAACTGCCTGTGGATGGAAAACGGCATCTTCATAATTACATTAGAAAAATGACTAAACAAAGTTGATGACGTCTTTACTTTCTTTCAATATTTGAATGTATCATACATAACTACAAAATAAATGATTTTTTTCCAGTGTGTAAAGATTTGTTTAACTTGTTTTAGGTTTTAATAACAATAGATTGTCAATTGACGAGTATGCTACATGTTAAAATAATGATTCTAATAATAGCTGATAATATAACAATGATTTATGAATTATTTGTGATGTAATACTATTTCTAGTGATTTTTGCAAATATTTATTTCTCTATTTATCTCGAACCAATGTCGGCTTAAGAGTATTGCTCATATATTGTAATTGGAATATAAAATTTTTTAAAGTAATCATCTGTAATAGCCATCATCTTCCATTTAAAATACGAACGAATACTTAAGAATGTTTGACTCCAAGCAAGAAAATTTTCCAGTTCGTCATAACTAATTTGTAATTCACTTTCATATACTTTTAATCTAGACTATATTCAGAATGATGTGTAATGAGATAAGACTTTAAATCGACTAAACAGGACTTTCAGAGCAATTACAATTAATTTATAATCAGTCCCGATCAAAGTTACTAATCTAATTATTATGAAATAAAATCAAAATTGTAAGTGAGTAAAATTACAAATTTCCAATCAGCTATAATTAATTGAAAATTTGTGATTTCAATCAACGATAATCTTACTTTGGTTGCATGCGCAAGTGGAAAAGTACGTTAAGGAAACGATCGGTTCCGACGATCGCATGAAAGCAATATGGTGGCTATATATTTTTCAAATTACCTCATGACTACCTCTCAACCTGTGCAATAATTGGCTTTATAATTTAGATTAATGTCTAGAGGATTTTGCAATTTTAATCAATTTTAACCGAGGAAACATTTTATTGGGCAATATAAAAGTCTAATAGATCTCGTATAATCAACGTTTAGTTTTATTCAGACTTAAATTATTTATCGAGTGGTATCTTAAACTAACCATACAGTCAGGTCCATATTCTTCTGAAAATGAATAATACTTGACTCATATACCATATACTAAAGTTTAACAAAGAGCCAATCAGACACAATCCTAAATTAAGACGAAAATTTCACCGATCAGCCTATGTCTTATGTATAACAAATTTCTGAATCTAAACAATATAAGTTTTGAAAGTATCATACAACACAACTCTTCCTTTCTACTAACACCGAAATATTTCCAAAATATTCGTTTTTGTCTGTTAATGAATAAACATTTTTGAGAACTCTCATAATCATAACACACAATAATTATACACAAAATAAGAAAAAAAACATCGTCTAATTAAAAGCTTTCGAATATGACTACCTACGTATATTTTATTCCTGTGAAATAATTGATAAATTATATTATATTCCTATAAGATAAATCATCAATTACTCACATTTATTTTTCCTATCTACAACAATTATAAACAATTAGCGTTACATACATGAAAAAAAACAAATATTTATTATCACATCTGCTTAATTGCTTGCTTGTTATTTTTAATGAGATAGAGAAAACAATCACAAAATGAAATAGGACACTCTACGCATCAATAAATCGTATATATATATATATAAACATTGGGGCGTATTCTCTCTACATATTCGTTAAATTATTTGCTTTCATTTAAATTCAAAATTTATATAATCGATTATTCTGCTTCGAAGCTTATCGTGTTTGAATATTATTTCACGGTAATTACTTCTATACTTTTTGTATTTAGTTTATACCATTCAAACGATATTCTTCGTATTGAGAATTGTTGCTCTCTTTAAAAGTACTATAATTATATATATAGTTATTGAGATTTTTCTAAATCATTCGATTTATTTAATGACAGTACCCAGTATATTTTAACTATACTGAAAACGAAGCAAGGTTTTGTAGATTTCCTACTTCATCATCAGCCTCTTCTATAAAGTCGTTGACAGAGCCTGCACAAGAAACTAAAAACATATCATATAGTTTCACAACTGTTTCTTATACCGGGTCTGTTTTGATCGTAGGATATTTTGCACCATTCTCAGCTAAACTAATACTTTGTCTGATTGGGTATTTAGTCGAATTCTCTTCGCGGTGCGACTAAGTACCCAAATGAACTGCTGTCCCTGTTCAAGCTGATCTTCGTTCTGATTACGTCTTCTGTCAGCTTTTCTACCCCTTACGAATGGATCCTCAACGAAACTTGTTCTCCGGTTCCATTTAGTATCAAGACCGATTATATATTAACTCAGATTCTGTACCCTTTGTGATTTCGTGGGTCGAGTGTAGGTGAGTCCGTGGTTAGATGATGACAATAGGGAGAGACACACAGCGACACGCGTTAAATCTCTAAACTAATAATATACACTGATTGTATTTTAGAGGAATTTTTTGTTTTAAACAGATCGTTTTGCCATAACATAAGCTTTCCCATTATATGTTTAGAAATGGGTGTGGGTGTGGATGTCTATTATTCTTCTCACTCATTCCTCACACCTACACCCACACCCTTAAGATTTCTCCATTATCAAATTCCTATTGTTCAATTGACTCATGTATTATAAACTTTCTATCATCAAATATTTTCATCATCTTATGATGTATATATACTGTTTTATGAAATATACTGTTCTTTTATAAACATTTCGTTATTTTTAGATTTTACAATAAAGTATTTACATACATTAATAAAGAAAAAAAATGGATTATTTAGAGCTACAAAATATACCATCAACGAAAAATGCTCTTACACAAACTAAAGAAATAGGTATACCACCTGTCAGCAAAAATGTTCGAATACAAACAGAATTCACATCAATTGGAACTGATAATGAAACAATACAATATCGAGGAAAATCAAAAAGGAGATCAGTCAACGTCATTGGTGATCCATCAAGTCTTCTGATGAATGTAACATATCAAAACGTCGATGACAAAGATACACGTGGTCGAAATTCAGAACTCTTACCAGAACTATTAGAAGAAGATGCAAATAATTTCAATGAAGACTCTACTGACACTGATCAACGGAGAGGAGAATCTAATGAAACAGGACAAAAACTAACAGATACCAGTACTCCTGATGAAACAGAACCCGTCAACAGAACCTATAATTGACTATGCTAATGAACCACTTTTACCACTTGCTGAAGCATGTGCTCCCCTTAATGATATTCTACATAATATATCATTTTATGTTAAATTAGCACTAGAAGAAACACCTTCACCACCGCTTGATAATCTTACTGTTGATGAAAGTGCTGCTATTCGTTTATATAC